TGACGTTGTCACGTTGGTGCCATTGTTTTACAGGATGCAGCTGATGATAATGTATAAGCCCATTGGCCAACGGTAAGTTTTTAATGCGGATGTTAGGAGCTGAAGGTATTAAACAGGAATGGTTTTACTGTATTCTTTCCTGTATCTCGATTAGTGGCTTCCCTGTGCTCAGGACCACTATAACCCTTGACACGTATTGCCCTTGAAATATACCGGGCATGCTAATGACCAATTAGGCCTATTAGACTTGACCCTCTTGGTGATATTTGTTTACGAATCACATCTAAAGCATGTATTTTAGTCGCTATACAGTGAACGGGGTTCGAGAGCCTCTCTAGCCAATTTTTTTTCATTAATGACTTCCTTGTTTAGGGATATTCAGTTGCCTAGCAATAAAACTAAAACAGAAAGTACCATAGCAAACAATTTCTAGTGGGACAGGGATGACGTTTCGGGGAGCGTTGCCACGGGCGAAAAAACCCAATCCCCAATCAACAAAACAAATGGCAAGGCGTTTTCTATATTTCTCCTTTAGCCCCGCTAAAAAAAGAAAAAAGAAAATCGTAGTGGCCTTTACTGGACAACACATTTATGACCTCATTTCTTGAACGAATTCATGACGATTTTCATGATATAGAGTTTGGAGCAAAAACAAAGCACTCGCAATATTCCGAAACACTACTGAGTTATTACGTACAGGTCTAGGGATGTCGCGATCGTTTTCTCGAAAGAAATTCTCAAGTTTGGATGTTTCTACTGTCTTGAGGGTCCCCATACTTTAAAGGTGGTTTTTCATCAATCCTTTACCCTAGTCTCGATTCAAGCCGATTTTGTGTTGTGAACTTTCCGGCAATGGAAACGCATGAAGTTGATCCTATCTCCGTTATTGAAATGACATGTACTACAAGTTTGGTTTCGAGCCTAAAATACAAAAGCGATTACTAGGCGTCAGATATAAAATAAATATAGTAGGCCTGTATAAGTGCGCGTTTGTAATTAATTATAATTACAGCAACAAAAATGTCAGGTAATATATTAAGAATGTTTGTTAATAATATAAAAAGTATAAATAATATTATAAAAAGTGAAGGAAAACAATTAAAGTGACGTTGCCCGTGAACTTCAGCAAATTCGACGTTTTCTGGGAAAAAAAGGTTTTTATTTTGGGCACAAACAGATCTGCTTTGTGAGCAGACTGGCTCCCGGTCCGTATCCTACAGATACTCATTGTGGGGCGGGAACCAGCCTACCCCACGAGAACAAAATTATTGTCTGGCAGCCAATAATTCGAAATTGTTCAGGAACATATTTCAGCAAGGGCGTCATATGGTATTTGTATGAACCAAGTTGGGTGTGCGGTTTACCAATCTTTTGTTGAAGCGACATCAGATTCAAGGTCGGCGAGCCAGAATATCTGATGGTGTATTCTGACAAAAGAGAATAATAATATTGATATAATTATGACTGAAGGTAAAGGACAAAATTGTCAAGTTGTGTGTGCTTACTGGTTTATGAAATGTTCGAATTTTCTCGAACGATTCCACACTCATTTTAAGGATTTTTTTCATACAAAAGTGATGACTTATATTTTCAAAAAAAGAAAATGAAATTTAAGTTTTCATAAAGATTATACAGCAAAATGAGTTATTTTCTTGAACTTTCTTTGCTCTCTCATTTTTTTTTTTATAGAAAGTTGAGTCATTTCACTCCAAAAAAATATTACACTGTCTGTTTCTGTAACAGTATAACTCGGAAACAAAATATCAAGTAATTATATTTATTGATTCATTCGGTTTTGAATTATTTTTTTTATTTAAAGAGAAATGTAAACATAGTGGGCGTAATATGCAAATGACAGGCGATAAAGGCATTATTTTACTGAACACCAAGAGAAATTTAGTATAAAAATATAAATTGATGTCTTTTCCTCAATGATTCGTGCTCTTGTTTCAGAAAGGAATTGCGCTTTGCGACTCTTCAGATATTCTGATGAATTTAGGAAAATATCTATTTTGTTTCGTGAAAAAAAAAAAAAAAAATCCTAAATAATGTTTCAAAGCAATATAAAACAAGACTAGCATTTTTTTCGCAATATTATGCAACACTCATAATGTATTGTATTGTTAAATAAAATATGACCATTTGTGACGTCATCGTGACTATTTACTTGACGAGTCCTGACTGGTCAATTCAAGTTCTTGGCCATTGCACGATTCGTGCAGTCATGTATGCAACACCTCCGCTCGTCATTGTAGGCCTCCATGTACAGCCCATGTATACATTAAGCGCATGACGAACCACTGTGTCATGACCTAGCGCAGCGTTCACGAAGCAGCAGTACGTGTTTCAGACTAATAATTTGCAAACCCAATCAGTGTGGAGGTTACAGGTGATGTCTTTCTATTTATAACCATTACCGTAACCAGGTTAAAAAATGGTTTTGCCTCAAAGCGTTATGTAATTAATCAGTCAGTCCACTTTCAGAAACAGAATCATGCTTAAACATCATATAGTGGGATCTAAATATAATCTACTATAGACGACATGCAAAACAGACTAATCTCGCTGTGTATAGATTGTTATCAAATATTGTGGGATTTGATAAGCTAAAAAATAATTGGGAAAGATTAAATCATCGGTGGATCAATACCTTTTCCTCCTGAAGCGTATATTTTAACAAGAACTTCCTGAAATTATAAAAATAATAATAAACCGGTGATTTATATTGCGCTTTCAGCAAGATCAAAGCGCTTTACAGAGAAAAAAAAACAATCAAGAAGAGCTAGTAGTTAATATTAGAGCAAAGAGATGGGTTTCGAGAAGCTTTTTGAAAATGTGGATAGATTGGGAGTCTCTGATGTGTAACGGGATCTTCATTGTTCCATTCTTTAGGACCTGCCATTGAGAATGATCTGGAGGCTCCTGTACTCTTGGTGGTGATGGTTGTCAGTACTGAGCGGGATTTATCAGATGAAGACCTGAGCCCCTCCCTAACAGGTTCATCATAAAGGAAAGAAAGTCAGCCAAGTGGCAAATTAGTGTTTAAAAATAATTACAATAATGATACTGTTTTCCATTTTATTCCTCCGAACCATGGACAATCCCGGACCAAGAACTATAATATGACAATTAACGTGTAGTTGAGATTTACCGTCTTTCCAACGGTCAGCTATACATTTAGTTCGAAATGACATGAAGTATTGTTCGTGAAGTTACCGGCTTGATCATTGTGCAAACCACCATGCAGTCATGAACCGCTGACAATTTGCAGCTATATGAGACAATACTGGACACCCACATGGTGTATTTTGCACCCACTCTGGGTGTTTCCTTCCGAACTAGGATTTCAAAGCCCTTTTCGTATCAACAAGACAACCTCTGAAAACACGCGCCCCCACAAGTCAACTTTCCTCTTTAATTTACAACGAGTATTTGACGAGACATTATGCAAAACTTATCACCCGGACATTGCATGGGTTTTCTTCACAGCGATAGCGCCAACTGTATGATCAGTACTTTACAGCGCTTCGAAACCCGAAGAGCGTCAATACTGCATTGTGAAAGTGAACAAAAGCTATTGTATGAGTTTCTGCGTGACCTAGAACGCCTGGTTCCCAGTCTCCGGTACCCACTATATTACCCGTGGTTTCACTTGGGCGCCCAACCAAAAGTTCCCTAGGAAACAAAATCTGTGTTTGGTAAACACATCTTGTGACGTGCATGAGATCTATAGTTATGCCCATTTTTGACGCAAGATCAGAATTTTTGGAAAGTTTTTAAAATTTCATCATTTCTAAGATTTGTTTCACCACAGACGTCACATGTAAATAATCATGATGTCCTTTATCCGAGATGCATTGTCGATAAAACAAACGGACTTCCGGAAATATTTTACCTTTTACAAAGAGATGACAATGAAACAAGAAATTTAAGAAGAAGAAACGATGGCCGCAATTCCACGTCCGTTTCACGTCTAATTATCAATGCACAAATCAAATAAGATTTTCAGACGCCTTACTTTCAGTACCTATCACCTGGAACAAGAATGAACAAATGTTTGATAAAAACTGTCCTGAAATAAATTTGTGTATAGTATCCTAAGAAATACATTTACGAACTGAAGTGCTATTATGAACTTTCCAGTGAGAAATCCCCCCCAAAAGTCGGTCGGAACTAAATTACATTTTTTAGTATAGTTTTAAACAAGGCCGAGTAGAATGGGGAATTTAGTAAGCGCTTTTTGTGTTCCAACTAATTAAGACATTCTAAACTATTTCATTCGAGAGGGAAATCATTAAACAGAATAGTATAGCAAGGAAATACGGAATTGAAAAATAAATATATCCGTACAAACGTTTAAAAGAAGTTGTTAAAACTTTTTTTTTCAATAATTGAAATAATTGTCACATAATGTATGTAAAACTTGAGGTATTAATTCATCTGACTTCTATTTTACAAGGAGGGAGTTCGTCATTCACTTTTATTTTGTGGAAAACAATTTCACCACATTTTCGTCATCCATTTTCTCTGCTCAGTGTTCAAACGTTGTGTAAAACCGCTTTTGTTCGTCCTTAAAAGTTGTGCAATTAACACCGCCTACTAATTCTTACCAAGAAACTACTAAAGATGACTGTATATTATGTACATGACATGCATAACCATGAGCCAATAGCAATAGAAACATGGCCCCCGATTGGCTGAGTCTGATCACATGGTACATTATGGAACAGATGACAAACTATATAACCCCTAAAGGTTTTATTATCCACGGCCTTCTTTGTTGGTTGGTGTTCTGCTTTATGATCTTAGCCAGTAAACCTATGACGTGCGTACTTGAAAACCAGCGAATTTTTTTTTTGTTATTTACCCGCACATGCGCAACGGACCGTGGAAAGAAAATATTAAATAATTCATGAGGTGAGTGCCCGAAATAGCCACAACGATGATGTCATGGCCTTGGATAGCCAATGATCTGCCGCAGAGTAATAAATACGGGCCCGCCGACCAACGGAGCGCTATTGTCCTATGCTCTTCTTGTGCTAGCTGCTGTGCGCTTTTTGGGTGCCAGAATTTTCCATACCTTACTCCGTCAGTTGAGTGAGTTAGCACAGTATTTTGAGAGGAGAGCAAAAACAACTCTTTCTACCCAAATATTTTGGTATATTTTTCAAACGCTACTTATTGAGATATTTTAGGAACACCTCGTGGAAATATAACGGGGGAATCTGTGGGAGATATTCACGGCAAAACCAGCGAACGTGCTTTTCCGAAATCAACGCAAACGCGGTAATCAGTCACTCGTCCCGAGGAGAAAATTCGTCAGCGACCCACAGGATATTGCAGTGGGCATATTTCAGCGGTAAGCAAGCAGAATATATCCATGCCTCCAGAGGTTACCCACGGTTTCACGACAGCAACAGGCAGAGCACAACCCGTACAAGATGGCCCCTCAGCAGCAGCTCGATTAGACCCTGCCGTCAGGCAGGACTCTAAAGCCACTATGGCCCACGCCATGTTCACCCTAGGCCTACCGCCATCATGCAGGGGAAAATCAAGCAAGAACGGCTGCCCAATCAAGAGGCAGGTTAACAATATCATTTCTAAGGAGAGTCCCAGCGTCGAGTCGGTGACACCGGGAGAGCTTTTCAAGCGGTTGGACTGTGAATACCCCGCCGTTGTTCTCGTCGATTGCCGGTCCTTCTTGGCCTACAACAAGCGCCACATCGACGGGGCAGTGAACGTGAACTGCACCAATTGCTTCACCAAGCGGCGCCTGCAGCAGGGCAAACTCTCAATCGACGACCTTGCCACCTCTGACGAAGGCAGGGAGGCCCTGTGTTCCCGATCGGACAAGGACGTGGTGGTTTACGACGAGGACACTCAAGTAATTGATGACCTGCCGTCTAACCATCCGACCCTCCTGGTCCTGAACTCGCTTCGGAAAGAAGGGACAAGGGCATGTTTTCTGAAAGGTTAGTGTCACCCTCCGCATTTGGTAAACAATAATTCGAATCAGTTTAAAGATGCAACAGAAAAAAATCATATCTCTGAATGTCTGAAAGTCTGCGATTGATTTCAATAAACACATTTCTGCTATTTGAATTGATATAAGTTTCAGCATAGAGCAAGGAACAGACATGACAGACCTACAAACTATTATTACTCAAAAGTTTATGTAATTCATTTTAACATGTTGAAGCTAGTTTGTTGTATAGGCCTATTCCATGTTCTGCAATCGTGCCACATGCATGTAATATTAAGTATTTGGCATTTAGAATTTTTGAATAGATGAAAAGAGCGAAGAATCGAGGTCTTTTCAATTCCTATCAACAAACCGACCCAGTTTAGCTCAAAGAATAATCCGACTGAAATAACACCAGATAGCAACTGTTTGTACAACTGCTGTGTGAGCGCCTACTGATAAAATACAATCAAGCCTGGCTCTTATGGAATACGCTAACAATTGTATTGAAATTCAAACGTGCGATCGACCAGGAGGATCGACCAGGCTTTTTTTGCCCATGACTGCCTTCCCTAAAAAAGAACTGCAGTGCGTTTAGTGTGCAAACAATCGCTATTCTCTAGTGCCTTTTGGAAAACTGAAGAGTATTTACCTTAGCAAAGTCCACGGAATGAATATGAGGTTGAATCTATGCCAAGTTCTCTAGTTAAAGGCAAAACTGACGCGGCTTTCATATTTATTTTGTGAGAAATAATTGATCATCGATATGAGACACGACGTATATAGTGTCCATATCAACCAATACGGGTCTATAAAAATGTGGTACTTCAAAATGTTATGAGTTATATGACTGTGTTTATTTCAGCTGTCAATGATGTCATTTTTCATACAAATATTAAGTTTCTTTAACTGATTAGATTTATTAATTCCATTCGGCTTGTCCTAATAAAAAAAACTTATCTGATTTAGTGAAAAATATGCCTTTCCATATTTAGTCGCACATGTTTCAGTGACAATAGAAAACAGCATGAAATAAGTTGCGCCGGAATTAAATATTTACTTTTTCCAAATCATTTCTGTGCTTTTTTATAGGAGGACTGAACGAATTCCAAAACCACTTCGCGCGCATGTGTATCAGCTCCGCCGAGATGGTGAACTCGGCGCCCGATGCGTCGATCTGCCGGTCGGCAGCCGGCGTCATCTCCGACACGGACTACACGACGATTAAGCAGAAAGAGATCGACATCCCGGCCACCCAGCTCCTGACTTTCCTCTACGTGGGCAACGAGAAGGATGCGGCCGATCTGGAGTTCCTTCAGCAGGAGAGGATCGGCAACGTCCTGAACGTGACCCAGTCCGTGCCTTGCTTTCACCAGGAGACCTCCAACATCAACTACAAGCGGATAAGTGTCCGAGACAACTGCCTGGCCAACCTCAAGAGGCACTTCGAAGAGGCTTTCGTCTTCATCGGTAGGTATCTCATTGACATGCAGTTGAAGTTTGAAGGTTGACATATTATGGAGAGGAAATAATCCAGGGGAATACCAAAAATGACAAAGCCAGGGACTTACAGCTTTTAAGCTGAAAAGCAGACAGTCTGGTTGCATCATCAGAAACTGAAACTTCTAAATTGATCACAACTTTATAAGAGCTTCATGCCTGTTTAAGATATAAATAGACATGCAGCAGTGTAACTGAATGAATCATTGTAACACAACTGTTTCAGTTTTGTTGAAACGGGTTTTGTTTTCCTTTCGTCCTCATTCATGGTGACCTTGGTGTTTATTTGAACAGAGGCCGCTCGCAGACGCCACGAGAAGGTCCTGATCCACTGCAGTGGCGGCATCTCAAGGTCCTCCACCGTAGCCATCGCTTACATCATGAGGTACCGTGGCATGGCCATGTCCAAGGCCTACAATCTGGTCAAGTCCCGGCGGACCATCATCAACCCCAACCTCAACTTCGTGGGTCAGCTGGCCGCCTACGAGAAGACGATTTCATCGGCCATTTCCTCGCAATGCTCCCGCCAGATCAAGAGGCGCACTGCCTCCCCTCATCCGGTTCCGCCAACACTGGAAACAGCTCTGTAATTTTGCAGCTATTTTTTCAGCACTTAAAGTGATGAAAAACTCGCCACCTTGCCAAAAGACTCCAACTTATTCGACTTCATTATTGACAGTGGCAGTGCCTTCAACAGCAATAAGCAAACATTCAAGAAACGGGGTCTCGGCACCTGTTGTCCGGCGGTACCTGATGCAAATGTAAACTTGGCATTGAACTTTCTCAGATAGTGCCTCAGCTGCTCACGTACAGACACTGAGCGGGAAACCATTAATTATACAATGAACAAAATGAGCACGAGAATGGCGACACGGTATATATAAAGAGGAACTGAATTATTCGTGACACAGTCTCTTCATTCGCCACAGGTGGTTTTGCACCTGTACCCAGGCTGCGCACCTAGTGATTCAGAATCACGCGTGCGCCCACAAACTTTTTACCACACAGCTCAGAAGACTCAGTTTTATACTAAAAATGAATTTGACAACGCGTGACTTTTTTGGGGACGTTGTTCGTGCAGGAGGAAGTGCAATAACCTTTTCGCCATTCCGCTGAACTTTACAATTGCTAAGTTTCTGTTTCTTTCTGCCGGCGATTTGCAACGCTTCGTCGGGAAGAAAGCGATTTTTAACATAAACAAAATGTTCAGTCAGAAGGAGTTGGAACTTTTTGAAATGCCTCGGCAGCTTTTTATTTCATTAGGCGAGAAACGTCATGTCAGTAATCATCGTGAATTTGACTTTCGATTTGAATTTCGTCCATCCTGATTATCATTCGATACATTGGATATTCACATTTTCACAAAACCATTTCAAGTTCACAAAATATCGCGACTCATTGGGGAAAGAAGTTGTGATGTTTACTTAAACTGAAAACAATATTTGCCCAGAAATTGTCTTCCATTTTCATTATTATTAATAGCTAATTTAATATTCAGATTTTGACATTTTATTTTCACCTAGTATCCGGTGTTTATTTGGCATACATGCTGATAGAGAATGCACGCGCGATCGTCCGGAAATTAATAATAAAAGATGATTTTGACATAATAACAAGGAAGATATAACACACAGAACCCTATTAATACTGAATTGTTAAAAAGATTCAACAATGACATTTTTGTAAACACGACGACAGAACAGCTTTTATTTTCAAGAGTGAATTATAAGCATGGCTGTTCTTTCAAGTGACCTTTTCACGATGAAATCACAAAATAATGCGATCTTGCTTAACAGATATCAGACACAATATGATTGCAAATTATAGTACATTACCTTTGGTAAAACTGGTATGTACATGTCATGTACATGTATAATGTATCGGTACACCAGTGTCATCGCTGATGACACAACGGATGTTTTGTGACTGGTAACGGATGCAGGCAGGAAACCAGTGGCACCGCTTCATACCAGTTGGCCATGTTGTTTTTCTCTATTGTGCAGCAAGTGGCTGTACCTTGAAACAAAACCCACAAAAACAACTCGTCAAAAAATCCACCCAAGCATCGTCATAAGAATAACTTGTTCGTTAGTGATTCTATTTTTTAAATTCAAAAACGTGAACACTGGTAAAATTGATATTCCACACATTATTCACCTAGTATACATGTATGTTGGATTCTTAAAATTGTTTTGTATATAATGGCTTTTGCAAGATAAAAAAGAAGAAAAAAAATCAAAATATTACTTGAAGTAGTCTGACTATCTTGTTCGTTTTGTTGACAGCATTCAATATTTTCTTTTGGTTTTTGGTTGTTTATTTGTTGGTTTATTTTGATCTTGCTTGCATGGCTCATTGCCATTTCCTATTTTCCCCCAAATTACCGGCGAAAATAAATATGTGGCGTGCGGTGTTGTACTACAGGAAGGCTTTATTAGCGGACCGCTGGCGATATGTTGGTGGGGGGTTGGGGTTCACGGGGTTGCGGGCCAGTGACCAGACCAGAAGGTCATGTGCTGGGCTATCTATACGATATCGCCCACATAGCACCAGACGATCATTTCCGATGACTGAATTTCACGGGTTTGACGCCAAAGGAACGTGGGTTTGAAAATACTATTTCATAGAATCTATGAAATCAATTAACGATTCGTGAAGATGATACGGGGTTGTGATCCCTATATTTATAAAGTGGGCGAGGGGGGGGGGGCAGATGAGGGCTGAAACAAAGGAAGACTCATTCTTTAATGAGTTTTCCCTCTTTTTGGGAAACTATAGGCAATATATATATTTATCAAAATTGAGCATACATGTACAACCAATTGTGTTCGTGCAGAAGGATGGGGTCTGAAGGGTTTAATATCAAAATGCGAGGGTTTTTTTTTTGGGGGGGGGCATATAATCATTTATCATCATTTGCTTTCATGCATTTTGTTCGTTTCCAATAATTACACCCCTCAAAATCCAAAGAAGAATGTCCAAAACCTATAACCTGTGGAGTTTCTGCTGAGGGGATATTACATTTTCGAGAAAACAGTGAAAAACATGGACATCCTGTTGATCACGGAACAGCATTTCGTCGATACCACTATTTATTTCCAAAAATGAGTCAGTCTGAATGATTGACCAGTCGTTGGAAATCACCTACATTTCTTGTTGTCTTTAATGACGTAAACCAGACGGAATAATTCACTGGGTGTTTGATAGTACGAATACGATCTTATTAAAGTTCTTCTTATAATACTTCAATAGGTTACTTCTCTATGTTCATACAAGTTGGTAGTCGGGGTTTTAGTCTATAGGCTACTAGACTCAAGCCTAGTTTTTGAGACTGCGCAGACAGTACATGGATGATGAAACTGTCGGCAATCAACGTTGCCAATCGTCTGCGAGACATAGTTTGCGTCTGTCTGGGTTGACGGTGACATTTCCGGGTGAAATGTTTCCATAATGTCTGCCTTGCAGTTTTGGGTCTTGTTTGCGTTGCTATCTGCGATCTTATGTCGATATGGAGACTATGCTTTAAAGACTTGGACGTGCCGCACGATTCCCCAAAACAGAGTAAAACCAATTATTGAGCAATATCATATTTTATGGGCCACTACTATGAACATCGATATCCTCGTATTATGGTACAGTTTGTAATTCGCGCATGCATAGAATTATAGGTTGGTGCCAATGACGTAATGTACAGTCCATGGTGTTCAAGCGCTTGTCCCTCTGGGGACTAGACAGAGAAAAACTACCGTTCTGTTTGTTCGATTGCGGCAGGATCCTGTCCACGGTGCAGCAATATTTTCTTCAGCAGATATGACAATTTGAAAATGAAACTGCTTATCAAACACCCTTGCGAAACATTTGAAAGTAATATCCTAAGCATGCACATTGAGTCACAAATGCTGGTCGATGTACTATATGCTTGTCCTACCCTCATCTTTATATGAAGCTTATGATATATCACATAGATTTGCTATATTTGTATAATGACGTCATGCCTTTACTGCTATGAATTATGAATAACTTGACAGTTTTATGATAATGCGAACGATAACGCGTGTCATGTTTACTCATCACAGATGCGTGCGATCAAAGCTATAGTCTTATCGTTTTTAATCCATATCAGTTTTAATCCATAAAACCTTCATTAAAATTTTTTTTCAATCTGTCACTGAGAACTTCTCTGTTCATATTATTACAAGAAGTTGAATTGGTTTAAAGAATGTTTTTGGTTACTGATTATTTATTCGATCGGTAACAAAATAACAGGGAACCATTTCATAAAATATCAAGCCCGCAGTCAGGTTGAAGAAAAAGACTTGTCAGCATTATGCCTAGTCACGGGGCGGATCTATATCAGGAAACGGGGGGTGGGGGTGTTGGGGTTGATATATGAAGGAAGGATCGAAGGCATGCCGGATGCACGCCCTGCCAGGCGAGTCTTGGGCATGTCCCCAGAAAATTTTGAAATTTGCGAAGCTTTCTCCCACATTTCAAGGCAATTTGAGAATACATTTAGGAATTGTAGCATTCTATTTATTATATTTGGCCCCATTTTACTAGTATCATAAAGTTGGTCAGCAGCTGACTGTGGCTAATGTTCGTTATCATAATCTTACTTTTAAGAATTTAAGATTTTCTTTTCTTTTTTGTTCTTCCCCTTGATACAGATGCTATTTGAAAAACCTTTCAGGACAGCGCAGTTGGAGGCGTACATTTCGGTTTCTGCTTCTGAATGATTGGGGAAAAAAGAGCCGACAGCCCAGATGGTTTGGTGTTCATTTTCATTACAAATCACTGGAGAGTTTTAAGCTAAATCATTTGAGGAAGTAGCAGAAGGGCTGCCTATACAGAGTAAGAACCAACAGTCGACAGCGTAAATATATATGACGATTCAACATATACAAGAAATGGTATAAATAATGATCAATCACACCTAAACTAATATTGTAATGCAAATTGAACGCATGAAGGTAAGATGAAAAGACATATTCTTTAGAAATCCGCCCCATGAACTTTTTTCAGTTATTGTTCATTTTGTGTTGCATTGACTGTTTCAAGAAGAGGAAAAAACCCCCCACTCATAAAAAAAGCTATATCAGTCGTAATATAAAGAAGATTTATTGTCATATTGTTTGGTTTGCTCCGGCGGAAGTTAATTTTTTTGCAGGTATTTCACTCCCACAGCAAAAGATTGCAGTCATGCGGGTCAGGAATTGTCGTGCAACACCAGCCGCCTTGTAGGTAGATAAAAAAGGTCGAACTAACAGGAGAAAACGGTCTTCTTATCCACTTGAAACGAAGTTTAATAGAACCTGCGTTTTGTCATGGCACAATTTCATAAATAACGGTTAGCAAATAGTGACATTCTGAGAACTGTTAAAATTGCATCGATGCGATAGTCTGTACAGCAAGTAAATCAGCTTCGTGCAAGTTGATTACCAGAAAAGTCTAAATGTAGGTTTTTTAATTAGTGTATGGATTAAATAATTTTGCTGTGTAAGTGTCACTTCTGAAATGCATAATTTTGTTTCATTGAATACATTTCTTTTCATTTCTGTAAGGTATCATCACAAGACAGAGAGGCCGTGAATTATGAAAACGGAAACCTGTTCTATAGTTTGTCCACTATTGTTTCTTTGATTTTTATCGCAATGTCATCCATACATAACAGCAACTTAATTGTAGGCGTGGTCATGGGAGACGATGGCGGGATAAGGACATTTCCCTGATGACTAATATGCATTTTGTATTGTGCTCCCACCGAGTGTGGGCGGAGACAACACCAAGTCCAGCCCCCTCCGAGACATTATTATAGACTGTGGAAGACGAGGCTTCAAGCAAGATCGGTCCTCTCTCCATCAGCCGCAAAGCTTTGGCTTCCTCATCCCAATATCACTAGGAGTCCCCCCCCCCCAAAAGCCATGTCAACTGGAAATCCCACGGCTCTACCTGGATAAATCCCCATAAGCCAACCCACCTGCATGTACTTTGCGTGATCCATCTGGCGTACAAATCAAATTTCTCGACATCCCGTTTCATAATTCGGCCCAGGCCCCCTCAGAAGAGGAACTGTTCCGCTTGACCGCTTTACCGAGAGAGGAAATTCGATTTCGGGGGCTCCCAGCCCATTTCAGGGCACCTTTCACGGCGTGGAAGGAACAGATAAGGGCTCTGTGGGGATATAAGTCCGACTCTACCCACCTAAGCCTTGGGATTTCTGGCGGATATGCTACGGGGGACTGTAGGCGTCTCCCCGCTAAAGCTTTCAAATTGCTGATCCCTCGATGCCGGTGCATTTGCGTCCTTAATTAAGCCGTTACTTTGTGGCTTGCCTCACCCTCGTCATTGCCGTGATCCCAACAGCTTCATTTCAAAGTACATAGTAAATTCCTTTTGATTCATACTTTGATACTCTATTTATTATAGGACCGTAGACCAGTGCCTGGCACCGTCTTGACCCGCAAGGTGGCAGATTTCGAACAGATAAGGATGCTGCTGTGCCGGTCCATAATGAGCAGGCTTCCTGTTCCTGTGCAGTTTGGTTAACTTGTCGTTAAGAAAGATCCCAGACAGTCCAAGTTACAGACGGGCGTTAACGCCGCACCTGGTGAACCCTAAGGTGAGGTACCGCGCGCTTATATAGGCTGAAGTAATAAACCAGCAAGGAACACTCAATATGGTCACCTATAGTTGTTGCTTATACTAAAGAGCAAACTTATACAGATTTTATTAAACTCCTTCACAGCATATGGTCATTTGCTTTGCCTGCATTTTCCCCGTTTCCAATAATGTCACTCAAAAATCCAAGAAATATAAAATCCAATCCAAAACCTATAAAATGTTGAAGTTTCAGCTGTGTGGATCATGATTATACACTTTCGAGAAAACAGTGAAAAACCATGCACAGCCTTTTGATTTCGTCAATATAAAACTCTATTAATATTATCGTTTCAAATCACATGTATTTCTAGATTTCTCGTAGCAAATGACAGCAAACCAGACAGAATTTCACGAGGCATTTAGTACCAGTACGATCTTTAATCCAAACCTTTTTTTAAATAATAGTTCGCTAGGTTACTTTCAGATTGAATGCAACTATGCTCGTGCTGGTTTAACCCTGGCAAACAGATTCTGTTTTTTTTTAAATTGCTATTAGTATCTTATTGCCATTAGTATTTTATTGCTATAAGTATTACAAAAGTTAGGCATTTTGAGTTAGAAATTGACCGGAAATTGGCCCACGTTTTAGTGA